AAGGGACCTCTGGAGGTATCTCGTCCAAACCCCCTGCTCCAGCAGCTCACCCACAGCAGGGTGCCCAGGATGGCAGTCAGGCAGGCTTGGAATCTCTCCAGAGAAGGAGACTTCACAGCATCTGTGGGCAGCCTGCTCCAGTCTCAGGCACCTCACACCAAAGAAATTTCTCTTCTTGTTCAGCTGGAACCTCCTGGGTTCCAGTTTGTGCCCATTGCCCCTTGTCCTGTTGCTGAGCACCACTGACCAGAGTCTGGCCCCAGCCTCTTGCCCCCCTCTTTTAGCTGTCGATCAGCACTGATAAGTCCTGCTGTGGAGAGCAGCAAGCCCTGTGCTACTGGAGACTCAGCCTCCGAGGATTGGGTGGGTGTTAAGGCATGAAAATTTAAATTCTAGCCTCTCTGATAGGGATCTTTGCCTTCTTCCTCCAGCCCATGCCTGGATTTCTTCCCTATAAGTGGCTCTTTTGAGGCGAATCCTCCATTCTGTGAGGAGCTGATGGATGCCATGGTCTCTCACTTTGAGGTATGTTCCCTCACCTCTGGGGTTGTTCCAAGTGGAGCTGCACAGCCGGTCCTCTCCTCCTCACAGCTCCTGCACCCTCCTGGCGGGGCTGCGACACGGAACGCAGAGCACGGTGCCTGCTGTGGCTCTGCTCTGGAAGCAGAAGTGTTTCTTTACTAAGGTGTCATTGCTCAGCCAGCGCTGAGATTGTTCATTTTCTTGTTGAACTAGAAACTGCTGGAGAACTCCAGTGAGCCTCTGTCCTTCATCGTCTTCATCCCCGAGTGGCGGGACCCTCCCACGCCAGCCCTGACCCGCATGGAGCAGAGCAAGTTCAAGAGGCACCAGCTCATCCTGCCAGCCTTTGATCATGAGTACCGCAGCGGCTCCCAGCACGTCTGCAAAAAGTAGGCTTTTGTCTCAGGTCCCTTAGGGAATGCCTTTCTGAAGTGGCATGACAGAAATACCCTGTCCCAAGGTGAAGCTGGTGGGAAGTGGGGAGCAGGCAGGGAGGAAGGCAGTGCATAGTCACACGGGTTTTTAAGGTAGTCATACAGAGCAGTCCAAATTCCACATTCGTTTGGTGACTCCCGAGGAATTTCACTAACCAGCAGCATGTGAGTGGATATTCTGGGGCCCAGCTCCCCTCTGAACAGCTCACACGTGCTGTGGTGTCGCTGGTGCCCCGTGCCAGCCCCAGGCCTGGGGAGCCTGCTGAGCACGCGGCAGTTCAGTGTCACTCACAGGGACACAGGAGGGGTCTCGGTCCTCAGCAGAGCATGCTGGCCACCAGCCTGCTGGTCAGGCCACAGCTTCAGGCAAAAACTCATCGAAGCCAGTGCTTGAACACCCGAGTTCTCTGCCTGGTTATGACTGATGCCTTGTGATGAGATCCATCTACGGGGACAGTGCTGTCCCAGCACGTGCTGGTAGGGAGCTGCGTGGCTCAGCAGTATTTGTGCCTCTCTGAGAGTTTGGGAGCCTCTGTGCATGCTCAGAAGTGCCTGGCTACCTGCTCCTCTCCCCAGAACACGGATAGGAAGGGGCTTGTCCTAAAAGCCACACACAAAGCAGAGGGCAGCTCTGGGGAGCAGGTCTGGGTGTTGCGTGTGGTTCCTGGGACGCTGAGTGCCGCGTGTCTTCCCTTGCAGAGAGGAGATGTACTACAAGGCCGTGCACAACACGGCCGTGCTCTTCCTGCAGAACAGCGCTGGCTTTGCCAAGTGGGAGCCCACGCCAGAGCGGCTGCAGGAGCTCCTCGCAGCCTACAAGCATTCGGGCCGGAGCCTCAGCGCCTCGTCCTCCTCGTCATCGTCGTCGTCCTCCTCCTCCTCCGCGGCAGACAAGGAGCGGGAGCTGGGCCGGGAGCAGAGCAGCAGCCGGGAGACCAACCCCAACTAGGGTGCGGAGGTGCGAGGCGGCAGGGGAGGCGCCGGCGGCCCGAGGAGAGGAGGCCGGGCCGGGCGGAGGGACTGCTGGCTGCGC